CAATGTCTACACCGGCTTGAGAAATGTTACTCTTAGCACAATTTTTTTTTTCACCATCATCTTTCCATGTGTATGAGACCGTTGAAAGTTTATTGTGTGCAAAATTTTATCATATCTTTATTAATAGAAGATAAGAGTTTTATCAATTTAAAAATTGTCAGTTGGCTAAACTTACCGTCATGTTCATCCTTTGCCTCAGTACAAAACCTCACAACCTTTCTCTATCATCCACATTGACATATAAGGACCATTAAAATTGAAAACTATCAATAGAGTTAGATGGTTCTTTCTTTATTGATGACCACACTAGAACTAGTTAGTTATTCCTCATGAAGGAAAAATTTGAAACTGCACAAAATTTTTAGACTTGTTTCTCACAGTTTGTATACAGATGATTCATCCTGGATTCTATACACAAGTGCTACTTATCAGATTTGTCGCTGTCAAGAGTGGTCATGTACATACAAGAAGCTTGACAATAATGCATTGACAATGAGCTTGTCATATTATAGAGATCGTTTTTATTAAGATGCATGATTGTATTCTGAGGGGGTTGATTGATGTTAGACATGTTCCATATATTTGGCTGAATTTTGTCTGTTGGGGCCTTAGAGGTTAAGGCTACAATATAGTTATTAAGACTGCAGTTATGAGTATATATCGTGAGGCACTTATTCTTATGAAGAGAGGTTTTCATCATAATTTTTACTATCCTTAGGGTAGTACAATAACTGAAATTACTGTTGTTGTTGATATTCTTCTAGCACCATTAAATTATGGCATATGCAGGTACCTCACGCTGAAAAACATTTAGTTCGGGATTTGGCGAAGTAAGGATGACAAATGAGCGAAGATCCTCAAGTTCAATTTCTGTGAACATTATGTGTTTAACAAGAAAATGGTTATCCTTTGATACCCATCTATAGTATAAAGAGTAGCTTAGAGTATTTTCACACAGATCTTTGGGGCTCTATGAAGATGTTATCCTTCGGCGGGCTGAGATAATCTCTTTTTTCGATGATTTCTCCAAATATGTTTGGATGTACATCATGAAGTGTAAGAGTGAGATGCTTGAGATTTTTATGATTTATAAGAAGTAAATTAGTACTCAATCCGATAAATAAATTCAATGAATTAGATAAGACAATGGGGGCAAATACACATCATATACGTTCTTGCAAGAGTTCTAGAGTTGAGATAGGGTACCACTTCACTGTTCGAGAGATATCGCAGTAGAACGGGGTGACAAAGCGGATGAAACAAATTTTGGGGTTGTAAGTTCTGTATATATTGTCCAATACTGGGTTGAATACAGTTTATTGGACCGAGACTGTAGACTTTGCTTTTCACTTGATGAACTGCCCGCCTTTTGTAGTTATTAGGAAGAAGACATCAAAGGAGATGTTGTCAAAGCCTTCTGTTAGAGATTATGAGCACATGAGGGTGTTTGGGTGTCCAGTTTATTACCATTTACAAAATGATAATTTGAAGCAACGAGCAGAGAAGTCAATCTTTATTGGCTTCAGGTGTGGAGTCAAGGGCCTTAATTTTTATGATCAAGCAGAATTATAAATTAAAACAATGAACAAAGAAGTTGATTTTCCTTGGCTTTAGGCGTGAAGTTGAAACCTTCAAGCTTTATGGTCGGGGCATCCTGTTAAAAATTTTGAGCACATGAGGGTGTATGTGTGTCCAACTTACTATCACGTGTAAAATGATAAATTAAAATCAAGAACAAGGGGCTACCTTCATGGCTTCAAACATGAGTCTGGAGTTTCAAATTTTATGATCAGACAAAAAGGAAGATTGTTCTTAACAAAGATGCTACATTTGATGATGCAAGTTTGTTGAAGCATTTGGACTCAAAGCAGGTGATGAGTTCTATTAGGACAAATTGGAGTTTTATGCAACTCCTTTTTTCCATAGAGTTTGTCACTCCTGCTCAGGTACTTGATCAAGTTGCGGCTCACGAGGTACCTATTGATCATGGGTGTAAACCAACCAAGCTTGGGCGAGCTTAAGGCTTGCTCTTGTTTGACTAACTTGAATTTTTTTGTTCGCAACTCGTGCTCAAAATGACTCATGAATAGCCTATTTATGTTCGACTCGATTCAAAGTCATTTGTCTGAATTGGTTTTCTTACTAAGAAAACAATTTCTTGGGGGTATTTAGATAACACCCAATTCTTATCTTTTTGCATATCCGACACATAAACTTTATTTTTTATTTGTAATCTTAGCTCAAATTATTTAAAAATTAATAATATTTAATATTTATAAATACAATATAAAAATTTAATATATAAATATTATATTAATATTATTTAAATTGTTTGAGACAAATCGAGCTGAACATGAACGAACAAACCTTTGTTTGTATTCAACTCTTTTGTAAATAGAACTAAAAAATATTTTTCGTGCCTAACATGTGTACTTAACGAATAAATTGAACACTAGCTACTCAACAAGGTGAACATAAGCTGTTTGCGAACTACGAGCTTTTTTGACATTCCTATTTTTGACAGTGCTCAATAAGAGGTGGACGAAGTTGAAGATGATAGCCTCACTCAAGAATCTATTATTGGGAGTAGGACCAAGCGCTAGAATATATCAAAGCTAGCTTAGTTGATGGATTATATTGCATTTGCACTTTCTAACATGGACGTTGAAAAATCTTGTCATTATAAAGTAGTCTAGAGCTTAGATGATAATATATGGAGAAGGGTAGCTGATGAAGAAATGGAGTCTATTCGAAAGAATATTATTTGGAGGTTAGTGAAGCTTCCTCCGAGAAAGAAAATCATGAGTACAAATGTGTGCATGCAAAGAATGAAAGATCTTGTCGAGCTGATGTACGATACAAGATAAAATGCTTTACGCAATGAGAATAGATTTACAATGGCGAGGTGTTCTTCTCAGTGACCAAACATTTCTCAATCTGTGTTCTCTTAACACTTGTAGAAAAGAATGACATGATTTTGGATTAGCCTAATCTGAAGGTTGAGTTTCTACAAGAGGAACTGTAAGAGATCTATATATTGCAGTAACTTGGATATGAAGTACCAAAAGAATTGGTTTGCAAATTGGACAAATCTTTATATGGGTTGAAACCGTCATCACGGTAGTGATACAAACGGTTTGTTTAGTTTATGATAAGACAACAGTGTATGAGAATCCAATACGATCATTGTGCATATTTTAAGTTGGATAATGGTGAGTTCATCTACTTGCTTTTATATTTTGATGACATTTTGATTGCATTTGTCAGTCGAACTGAGGTTAATAGAATGAAAGAAAACAATTGTCCAAACATCTTGAGATGAAGTTGGGTAAAGCTAGCATGAATTTTGGCATGAAGATTCTCTCGGACAAGAAAGCTAAAAAGATTTGGCTCTCAGGATCATACATTCATAATGGGTTGAAGAAGTTTGAGGTTGATTACTCGAGAAAGGCGGTGAGTCTACTAATTGCATCTCACTTTCAGTTGAATTCCTCTCGGTGTCCTAAAGATAATCAAGAAAGGAAAGATATGAGATCAATTCTTTATGTTATTGCAGTAGGCAATTTGATGTTTGTCATGATTTGTACCGGACTAAACATTGCACAAGTAGTTGGTGTTGTGACTAGTTCATGCATGATCCATGATGGAGTCAATTGGCAGGTTTTGAAGAGTATTTTGAGGTAATCTGAAGGGTACAGTTGATATTGGTTTGGTATTTTAGAAACAATCATTAATTGCTAATTTGTGTATAGGCTACTATGCGCGTGATATATGTAAGTGTAGGTCTGCAACTAACCATTTATTCATATTGGTAGAAGGCTTCGTTAATTGGAGATCAATTCTTTAGTCTATTGTTGCTTTGTGTTTCACGGAGGTCGAGCATATGATAGTCATGGAAGCAATGAAGGAATCAATATCGATGTACGGCCTACTGGAAAACTTGGGAGTTGAACAAGAGTCTCATAAGATATTTTTTTAATAGACAAAGTGCAATATTCTTGGCTACGAATCCAATTCATAATGCCTGTGTCAAACGCATTGATGTGAAGAATCACTTTTTTCAAGACTTGATTAATGAAGATGGTCTTATGTTGAAAAAAGATATATATGAAGAAGAATTCTATAGACATTCTCCCAAGGGTACTACTAGTGCAGAAGTTCTCCAACTGTAGGAGTTCGGCGAACATTCGAGCTCATGATTGATTCTTGTTTTGAAGAACTACGCGAGACTTGATCATTCTGGGAGGGGGCATGGTGTAGCCGTTTTGGTGTAATCATCTTGGCGTAGGCAATCATCTTGGTGTAGCCGTTTTGGTGTTGGAGCTCATTAACTCATCTCCCACTTTTTTGGAAGTGAAAGATGAGGTTGACATTGCTGGATTAGAAGCTTTGTTTGTATAACTGGTAAATTGACTATCTTCAATTTTTACCAGTGTGCCATAATCTTCTCTTATTTATAGGAGAAATTATGGTTGATTTTAGTTTGTTGTTGTAACTTTATTGCACCAATCTTTTTTTTTTCTCCTCACTTGTTGATAGTGGAATAACCCCTTTCCATGGACGTAGGCTTGTGCAAAACAACATAAATTATATCATGTTTGATTGTTTATTTGTCGTGCCATTTTTTTTCCCCGCATTGTTTTGCACAACAAAAAAGAAATTCATTTTTATAAAATGTAACTGGCAGTGGCACAACTTGTCTGTAGGACAGATTCATGTAAATTTTGGTAGAAACCTTCTTTTATAGTGGGTTATATAAAATTTGGTGCTTTTGCATGAATCCACCACCAACTGTAATATTTAGCTTATGTTGCTCAGGATAGAGAAGCAGTCTTGCTAATTCGCATCAAAATGTCATAATATCAAAGTAACTCTAGCAAATTTCATCATTTTTTGCTTATCTTTTCTTATCTGAAGTTTTACTAGACTCGTACTATCAATTTTTGATGGTATTTGATGTATACTCACTCGCTACTTTTCTCATCATTTTACTGTTGTAGCAACATGGAGACATTCGAAGTATGTATACTCAATGCAAACACAGGGGATTTGTTATGATATCTTACTATGATATTCGACATGCTCGGAATGCCATGCGTGTATTACAAAACAAACCTTTACGCCGAAGAAAACTTGATATCCACTTTTCAATTCCAAAGGTATGGAAGAAGTATCTTTAACTGTGAAAATTGATGATTTCAGTAAATATTCATGCTGAATATTTCTTCTTGCATTTATTTTTTTCAAGGATAACCCATCTGATAAAGATATAAATCAAGGAACTCTTGTCGCTTTTAATCTGGATCCATCAGTCTCTAATGATGATCTTCGTCAAATATTTGGGACGGCTGGGGAAGTGAAGGAGGTTTAGATTTACTTTCTTGACATGTTTTGCTCTTATTTTATTGTCTATGCTAGTAGCTGAGTGGTAATATTAAGAAAACCTTTATTGCTATTATCTTTATATGCATTTATATTTTTAATGGAGATCAGTTAGAAGAATCACCAAAAAAATATTGAATAGTTTTGGTGTTAGTAAGTTCAGCTTTTATGGAAATTATGTAGATAAGGGAGACACCACACAAGAAGCACCATAAGTTCATCGAGTATTATGATGTTAGAGCGGCAGAGGATGCCCTACGGTCATTGAATGGTTGTGAAATTGCTGGGAAGAGAATTAAACTCGAACCTAGTCGACCAGGTGGTGCGCGGAGGAGGTAAGTAAAAAACTCATTTGCATTTTTTCCTTCTTATTCTCTAAATTTAATACTTAAGCATAGTTTGTCTTGAATACTTTTCTTTTTAAACTTTGCTGATCCTCCTTAATATTTACGTATTTGTATGTGATGATGAGACCGGAAATCCATCTTCATTTGCTCGTGCAATACTTAGCTATACCACATTCATATGGCATACAACCTATGGTATATTGCTTTCATACGGAGGAACTTGATGAAGGTTCTTAATTAAGGTCAATTACTGAGTTTATGATTGGAGATAGCTGAGTAATTTCATTGGAGGCGGTTGCAAGTTTTGGAACCTTTTTTTTTGAGGAGACTGCAAACGTTTAAGCTCACATAAGCAGTCTAGAGGTTGACACTTGGTCCAAGTGGTCTGTGCTTGTCAATGTCTTGAATAATGAACATATTTGACCTTATATCTCATTCAAATTGAGGATATAAATACCAATTTTAAACACATTTACTTTTCAATATGTGACGAGTCATAAACTTTGCATGCAAGTAGACACACTTTCTACAATGAAGTCTAAATTTCATACTCGATGATATCGTTTTAGGGCTCCCAAAAGATGTTTAGTAGGGGATTTATTGGGGTAGCAATTGTGGAATAATGAAGGAAGGCTAATATGTGTGGTCAACTTGTGTTTTGAAGGGATTTTGGGGATCAACCTGCTGTTGGACAGCAGGTTCGATGTCGTTGGTGGCTGTTTTGGCTGAAATTAGAAAGTTGGATTGTGAGATATGGGCATCGAGGAGGTTCCACCACTTGATCCCGAGCAAGATACATATACATCTTCTTTAACTTAATAGCTGCTAGCTTTATTCTTATGTTCGGTGGAAGGTCCTCATACTCAAAAATTTGTTCTATTGCCTGGAGCTTTTTGATGAAATTCCTTTGGGTCCATGTGACTGTCAAAATTTGGCTAGTCAATTTTTACTCCATAAGCTTGGTTTCTCCTCTGATATGCTAATGCTAAATCATCCAGGTAATTATTTTTCCTCACGTGAAACTACCTGGCGGAAGGGATTATTTCCTCCTCTCGATCTGGCGAGTCATCATTATGGCTATAAGTAATCTCAACGGATCTTCTCCTCTCATAGGCGGCTAGCTTCTGTTGCAATTGGCGTATTTTTCTTTACATATCTTATATGGTGAGTTTTTGAACATCTTGTTGTGGGTTTCTCCTTGGCCGCAAGATACCTGATTCTTCCAATGAAGTTTTGATGGAAAAGGAAGATATGGTTTTGGGTTAGGGTGGCCATGGCTAGGTAGATAATGTTAGAAAACTTTTTTTTTTGGTTTAGGGTGGCCATACCTTCTTAGATTAAGTTGTATGATTCTTGATTTATGTGTAGGATGGACAAATCCCTTCAAATTTAGGATTTGTCAGGTTCAGATGTCATATGATATCATTCTAGTGCTCGTAGAATAATTTGGGAAGGACAATCTATTTGGTTGACAGTGTTTGGAATGGATTTTGGGGTAGATCAGTAGATTTGAAGCCGTCAGTGGCTTCATGGACTGAAATCAACAAGTTGGACGACCAAATTGCGAGATATAGACGAGGAGGATCCATCACTTACTTCTAAGCAAGGTAAAAATACACTTGTAAAAGGAAGATATACAACACTTTAGAGAGCAAAATTTAGAGAAACATCTCTCAATTCATAAAATCAGTAAACTGAAATCTCAAAACAACCCAATACACACGTACAAATATTTTTTATTAGAAAATCACCTAATTTTGAAATCTGAAAATATGTGAGAACAAAAAAGAAAAGAAACAAAAGAAGAAAATTGTTGAAAATTGCAAATAAATAAAAAAAAGTCTCGCAATTGATATTCCTGTGATCGCTATTCCCGCTAGTTGTGGTATCACGTGAATTCCGCGATTAGAATCGGTGCCTTATTAGCTCGCGATTATGCTTGATGCTCCGACATCCTTTTGTTAGCATGATTCTTAATGAGGTTGAGGCCATGCACTTAGATTTCTAGTGATTATATTTTCTAAAATTTTGATTAATAGTTAGATTTTTATACTTAATATTATATATGTGTTATTCTAATGTGCATGCATTATGCTATGTATAATTATACCCATGTAATATAAATCTATACTTGTATACATGTGTGCACGTGTGAAATCTCATAAGTTTTAATGCACATATACTGAGTAGATGCCATGTTGAATGGAATTGATTTCAAGCGGCCATGCTCAACTAAAGGCAAATTGATTTCAAATAAACTAAAATGGAGTGATTAATCAGCTGGCTTTTAGTTTTTAAATAAAATTACTAATATGAGAAAATAAGCGAATCTCAATTATTCTTAATTTTTTGGTGAGTGAGCTATGCCTGGATTTTTTTTTGAATAAATTACTAAGATGAGAAAAAAAGAGAATCTTAATTTTTCTTAATTTTTTGGTTTGCGAGCTATGCCTTGAAGTGAGCTGGTGATGTGAAGAATATCAAAAGGCCTCCTACAGCTTTAAACCTTTATAGCAGCTTAAAATTTGAGGACATACCAGCAGTACCACACTGAATTTCCACATTATTATTAATTTTATCACACTTTGGCGAGTAGGATCATTTGAACACTTATGTGAGGTGATGATGCCCATGTCACTGCACTAGATGTCTTCATCTTTTACTATATTTCAATAATGTGGAGCCAAAAGTGAAGGCTATCTTGATGGAGCCTTCACTTGCAAAGTCCCCTAGAAATAAGAAGGGGAAGGGGGAGGCTTTTGAGCATGTAACCACTAGATGCACATGCACCTTTTTAAGGATGTACTTTCTCTCTCTCTACTTCAAGTTGTGGTCCATGTTGTCAAATTTTTCTTGCTTCTCAATGCTTTTGTAGTGAGTAACATCATTTTTAGCATGACATTGAGCAACATCATCCATGGGGATAATCCCCATTTCTTTTTGGCGACTTTCGTTAATTAATAATGACCCATATCTTACTTCCTAGAGCGACAAGGATGGTGATTGATGCTGGAAGAAAAAGCCCGATCCATAAAAGAAACATAAATATTATTATTGAATCTGAAATCGGTTACAACGACTCTTCAAAACATGAAATGCAACACCTCGAAAGTATATCCCAAGGGCGGTGGAGGTTGGCCCAGCGGATCCGGATGGCTAGTGGGGGTTGTGGCAGGAAAGATGAAGTGTTGGGTGGCAGGTTAGGTTGCAAAACATCGGGCTGCGGGCTGGACAGTAGATTTGGAAGGGTTGGACAGCAGGTTTGGAGGCTGCAAAGTGGGCCGGAGATAGTTGGGAAGGGTTGGGGTGGCCGGCGACTAAGGGAGAAGGGAAGGGAAGGTTAGGTGAAGATAAAAGAAGATATACAATCACTGCCTTGGAGTAGGATATAGTTGGAGCACTACCACATCTTCGGATATAATCCACAAAGCAAAAAAGGACTCACAGGAATAGGAAATCAACACACATCAAAACACTAAACCCTAAATCCAAAAAATAACAATTTAAAGACCTTTCACAGCGGGAAAATAGAAAAGGAAAGCTCCCATTAGGAAATTACATAAAAGGAAGGAGGATATGGCGCTGGAGGCCGCTCGCCCTTGTCAAACTCCCATCCAAGTCTGCTCGACCTGGGTTGAGCTTGGACCGGCCTCGATTGAGCCGGCCTGTTCACTAGCGGGACTTTCTACTGCTAGAGATCCCGCTCCTGCGTCATGCGGGGACGCCCCGCGCGTAAGTGATATATTGACTTCTTCAAAGAGTGCATTCTCCTTGCAGCTTATTCCTTCTATCTCAATGGCATTGCCTCTATAGGCATTAAAATAGAATTGGTGAGTCCACTCCATTGCTAAAATCATTGTAATGATTTATCCTTAATGAGAATATTGAGATGCCATGGAATATTTTGGAAGGAAGAATAAAAAAACCCATGTAAATTGGTCATGCTTAAAACCAAAAAAAAGCTACATAATTTTTTTGATGTTTGGAATATAAACCTTATGCCCTAGATCATTGTCCATGAATCTAGAGATGTGTAAGAGAGGCATAATTAATTCTATTTCCCCTCTTTCTCGTCCTCTCATTCTTGCTAAGGGAAGTCACTAATTCTTATCAAGATTGAGCACACGAGGGTCTCACTCGTCTATTCTTTGACTTAACACTTTGGTGATAGGTGAGCATGTATAACCTTTTTGCACATTGCGAGCATAGAGAACTTTCAAGTGGAAAGCATGAAGCTTCTTTGATATCGGAGTTAACACAAACCACGACTTAAAACCAAATTTTATTGCTGACTTTAAAACTATAATAGTGAATCCTCAACACAAACACATAAACAATAAATAACGATGGCGACAATGATTTAAAATTAGAAAAGAAACAACACAAAACACAAGAATAGATTTCTAAAGGAGAGCGATAGGCCGGACGGGAGGTACAGAAGCTGCGGTTGTGCTAGAAAGTAGTTGACAACTTAGGGCTATGACACCGAATAACGGGGAAGTGAGTGTGGCCACCTAGGAGGAAGCCGAAAACAAGTGGCGACGGTGTAGAAGAGAGTAGGGAAGGCGGCAGTGGACTGGGCAACAACCAAAGTTGGTGCCTCTATCCGGGCAACAGGAACCGGGGTATAAGGGAATGTCCGGTAGCAGGGAGAGGGCCGAAAGGTTGGTGCGGCTGCTGGAAGGTGGATGGAAGCAAGGACAACCGCAAAAAGAGAGCCCGAAGGCGCTGCTGCTGGAAAGTTGGAAGCAAGGACAACAACTGGAGGAGGGTTGGAGGGTTGGAGGGTTTCTGCTGTTGTTGGACGGCGGCTGGAAGCAGGCACAACAACAAAAAAATGGGCCGAAATGCCTTTGCGGCTAGAAGCAAGGACCACAACGGGAAGAGTAGAATAAGCGGGAAAAAGATAGAAATGATATCCTCTAACGTAAGTGAACATCACATATGAAACCATAAGCAAAATGATATCCTCTAACGTATGCGAACAT